ACACCAAGCAGCAGGTTTAAGAGCTCCCTGGCTGCTGGCTCTGGCCACCTTTCAAAACCACAAGTACAGCCAAGGGCAGCCAAGACATTGACAAAGCTAAGAGATATGGTCCCCAACAGAAAAGGCCAGCTCCCCCTTCTAGGCCTGCCTTCTGCCGGGCCCCTGGCAGCCAAGGCTCCATTCTCCCCAAAGAGGATGTCTGAGGCCCTGGATTCAGAAAGAAGATTTTTGCAAGAAGATAACTCGCAGCTGGCATCAACATTCTTGAGAGACTATGGAGCACAGTGTCTGGGGAAGGCCCCAGATTGTACTCTGGGTTCTAATCCCAGCTCAGTCATTTGCTAGGGTATGATCTTAGGTACTTCAACATCCCAGAATCTGTTTTCTCAACTATTGATGATGAGAATAATGATGTTCCTGATGAAATCCACCGTGTTTCTCATACAAGGTCAAGACGTTCAAACAAGATAATTGATGGACATACCCTTTAAGATATTTAAAAACTATAAAATGTATGAGATACTAATATTTTAGAGGATATGACACATGTGGGTATAATAATGCAAATTTTTAGGTGAAAAGGGAGACTTTTGTTTTGCCTGGGGACTCCCACAGGGCAGATGTTCAATTCACATTCAACTACACACATGTGACTTTGCAGTGATTAATAAGCTAAACATATCTGTTAGGAAAATAGCAAACTTGCTACTAATTAGCATATTTTATGAGACAAGGAGGTGTCTGTCTTGAGGGTTTCTCCATGGGGGTAGTAGGGTGCACATGAAGAGAGAGTCTGCTCTCCAAGATGGCCCCACCATCGTCATGCCAACACCAAATGTGATGAAATGGAAGGTGTTCAGACTTGACATCTGAGCAAGCCACTGTCACCCAAAATTAACCCCTGAATTCATCTAAAAGGTAAAAAGTGGTTTGCGAGGTTGAATGGGTGGTTCGTGTTTTCACAGCTCCTTCAAACTTAAAAGCTGAATTACAGTAGCCAAGTGGTGGCACAATGATAGCACAACTGAACCTACATGGAAAAGGTCCTGGCACAGTCCCGGCCAGCTGACTGGGGAGTGGGTCGCGGTGTGCAGACCCGGCCAGTGATGCCTGTCTCTCTCTTTCTCCCCCTTCTGTCTCTTTTGTGGAAGGAATAATAAACGTTTTTAAAAGCTGAATTAGGAATAGTCGTTCTCTTTCTCTCTTACTGTATTTCTACCGTGGCATCTTGGGTATTACCTCCTCTTCAGAGCCTTGGGTTTTCATTCATGCTGCTTGTCCCTTCCTTTTCACGTACACTTTGCGTATATCATGGCTTGCTCCAAAAAGTAATTGAGGCAGCTTGTAATCTTATTAGGAAGACTAATATATATATGTAACATATATTAGTCATATAAAATATATTTATATATTACTTTAAATGTACTATCTATATAGTATTTTATATATGTGTGAGTATGTGTGTGTGTGTGTGTGTATATATATATATACATAGTACTTTAAACTCTACTCAAAACCAAGAATGCCTCAAGAGATTTGAAAAAAAAAAAGTATTGATGGGACGAGAAGACGGAATAAAGGATTACATCACTGGACTCCCACGTACTCAACTGTGGTTTGAGTCCCAGACCTGGTGGCTTATACTCACACCAGGTGCATATGTGTGCATGCCCAAGATCCTGAGAGGAGAATGGAGGAGAAGGGACTGCAGCATGGCCATCCCCTCTTGGGGGTGACTTCTCACTTTCTTTCTCTCTTTCTCTGTCTCTCTAGTGAGCACAAACACTCTATAGCAAAAAATCTCTCTCTTAAAAAAAAAGTATTGGGAAGATAAATATATTAATCATAAGACTGAGTAAGGAGTAGGACTTTATGATCCTTTGACAAACAACCTCATGCCATCTCACTCAGCATAATTATTAGAGGATATGCACTTGGGGGACCAGCAGTTGGCATAATGGCTATGTTGCTGAACTCCCATGTGGCCGACCACGGTTCAAGTCCTGGACCTGGTGGCTTAAATTCACGCCTGGCACATGTACATGTGTGCCCAAGATCCCGAGAGGAGAATGGAGGAGAAGGGATTGCAGAGTGGCCATTCCCCCTGGGGGGTGATTTCTCACTTTCTGTCTCTCTGTCTCTCTCTGTCTTTCTGGCAAGTGCACATACCCTATAGCAAAAACATCTAAAAAAAAAAAAAGATATGCATTTGTAACTTCCTGTATTTACCTCTAACAGTAAGACATTATAAAATAAGAATAAAGGATATGAATTTGGATAAATAAAGCTTTGAATCATAAACAAATTTTAAACCAGCTGTGCTCGCTAAGTCTTCCACAGCCTGGACTTCAAACTTAGGACCTTGCGCCCACCCTCCAACAAGAGCTAGGGAGATTTGACCTCTGTCCAAGTCAGTTTTCAAATAAAAAAGCTTTGAACTCCTGGGCAGTTGACAGCTTGGACCTTCAGTGTTTATCCAGACTTTCCTCATGGTAGGAAGGGTGACTTCATTTACCACCTCCTCCCCACCTGCCCACCTCCGTGGAGTTTCCACTTGTAAGAATTGGCACCAGCCAGGAACTCAGAACTTCAGGGGGCAGGTTGTGAGCTGTGTCTGGTATACAGGAGACACCTAGCTCACGTGGGGTTAGGCAAATATATAGCAAGTGGTCCGTAGTGACCCAGGTAGACAGTGACTCCACATGGCGCAGCCTCACATCTATGTTCACTTTTGGCTGGCCAGAAGTTACTTGGTTTCACTGCTCAGCTCTGTATCCTTGCCAGTTATGTGCCAATGATGCACTAATAACAACACTCCACACAGGTGTGCACCTCTGTAGTTACCTACTTCATCTGCTGAGCTGGGAGCTCACCCACCTAGATTTTGTGGAACAGGTCCAGCACCTTCTACACCCCAGGATGGGGGAAATTTCTGACCTGGTGTCAGAAACATTTCAGAACTCCCCAATTTTTTCTACAGAGAGTATCAGGGCCTCTACTTATTTTCTTCTTGTGCTCCTGCAATTATGAAGCTAAAACTAATTCTGAACTCTTGTTTGCCATATTTTTCAAACATACCACACTTTTCCCACCTCCAGTTCTTTGTACTCAATGTCCTTATGCCTCAAACAGCCTGGAAGGTCCATGGCTGCCTTTTCTCCCCATGCAAGTTTCAGCTTAAATACCATCTCCTCAGAGATCTTTCCACTCTGCTAGAAAAGAGACCACATGCACTAAATCTCCAGCGTATCACTCTATTTCCTCCATAGCATTTACTACAATCTGTGGTGGTCTTATTTATTTGTTTATCATCTGGGTCCCTCTTTAGAACAGAAGCTCTGGAAAGACATCACTTCAAATGCTCCATGGCCACCTGCCTTGCCGGTTCATGTATTTCCATCATCCTTTAAGAGGGCAAACGTAGATTACTGCAATAGTCTGGCTTCTCGAATGTCTTCAAAGTAGACCAGCCCTTCAGTTAAGATACTCGGAATGGATAGGGAGACCTTTTCTGGGGGAAGTCCTGGGGCTTATAAAAAACTATTGTACTCAAGTGAACAAAGGCGCGCAAAAAACTTTTTCATTGGAAAAGTCATGACACATTTTTATGTAGAAAAGCACAGAAAACTATGTCATGACTTTTCTAAACACTCAATAGATACTGAACAAATAAATGAACTAAGATCAAATGACTTTCTTTACTACAAAGCTAGAAAAAGAAAGAAACAACGGAAGAAATCACCCCATTCCTTGCCCAATAGCATGGGGTACTGATGAATGCTCATCTTCTCCAGTAGGAAAAGGAGTGTAGTTTCTAAACTAGCTGCAACAAGCAGAAACCAATCACAGCCAGGCTGACTTCAAACCCAGAGAAGAATTTACAACCCAAGGCTTATTTAACAAGATCCCTGGCATAGAGAGGGCGAGATCAACTCCTGTCCTAAAGTATGCTGACGCTAACTTGATGCCTCCACACAAATCTTATTTCAGCATGTTGACAACCAAATATAAGGAAACACAGGTCCTAATTTTTAGACAGCCTATAGAATTGAATAGATGTTGTTCAGAATCTGATACTTTGATTAAAAAGAAAAAGCTGTGCTTTATTTTAAGGGACTTAATGATTAGGAACTTGGATTTCAAAATACTCTGAAATATTAGATAATATTAAGAAATGTGGGTCAACTGGTGTTCTGGTGGTTAAGGTGCCTGAATTCCCCATGGCCAACTGTGTGGTTCAAGTCCCAGACCAGGCAGCTTGAAAAATATGGTGGGCGTGTGTATGTGTGTACTCAAAATCCCAAGAGGAGAATGGAGAAGAAGGGTGATGATGGTGGCGGTGGTGCTTGCTCACTTTCCCTTACTCTGTCTCTCATAAGCGCATGCACCATATAGCAAGTTTAAAAAACAACAACAAAATAAATGGTTATTTTTTTTTAAGTATTACGTTTTATTTTATATATTTTGGTTATATTTTTAAGAAAATAAGAGTCCTTGGGGCCAGCAGGTGTTGTGGTGGTTAAGGACACTGGACTCCCACATGGTCAACAGCGGTTCAAGTCCTGGACCTGGCGGCATGCTTTCCCACTTTCTCTCTCTCTCTCTCCCTGGCTCTCTCACTCTCGTTCTGTGCCTCTCTGGTCAAAAAATTAAAATAAGTAAATAAAAATAAGATTAAGTAAAATAATTTTTTAAGAAAAAAGAAAAAGAGAAAGAAAATAAGACTCCTTATCTTGGAAAGACACATACTAAAAAATTTACAAATAAAATAAAATGAGATCCAAGATTTGCTTCAAAATAATAGCAGAAGAGAGAAAAGAAGTGTGAGGACAGCCCAAGCGGGACTGACCAGGAGTCAGTAACTGCTGAAGCTGGGCAGTGGGCCCACGGGAGTTAACCTCTTCACTCAACATCAGATATCTTTGACATTTTTCCTAATCAAAAGACTTTAAAAAGCCCTTCATACAAGTCATTGTTCACCCTTGAAATTTCAGAATTACCTGAAGGTGAAGGTTTCACCTTTCCAGTCTTGCAGTGGGTTCTCCTGGATGATGTCCTGGGTCAGAGGCGAGTTCTGCCGTGGGGATTTGGAGTGAGGGAGGGTGCCCATGTGACTGACGTTATCACAGGACCTGATGGGAGGAGGGCCTTTTTTCTTCCGTGGAAGGGTGCCATGTATAGACACGTCTTGATAGGCATCTGTGCGGTGCTCAGCGAGAGGGGACTTGCTGCTCAGAAGGTCCATGGATGAGGCCAGGGGGAACTGGTGATTCACTGGCATGTTTCTGGGAAGGCTTGCAAATTTTCCTGCAGCCATGATTCTCAAGTCTAAAGGGAGAAGAAAAGAGTGAAGGTATAAATCTAGGATAACCGTGAGAACTTGCTACTTACGAAAGGAAATAGAAATATGCCACATAGCAAAAGAAAATAGTCACAGTAAAAGACCAATGGCATTTAATGGTATGATTAGTGGAGCTTACTAAGGATGGGAAGTGTATTCTTCTTGCTCCTTTTATGATCCTACAGAGGAATTTTCCTGGGTTGGCAGCAAAACCGGAAGGGTAAACACACTGGAGCCGTTAGAGGCACATAAACCGTTCTATTATTTCAAATGACGAAAGCTGATGGAAAAGCACAACTAAGAAAAAAAGGTTATTAAGGCAGGACTCATGGTCTCTGTAATAAATGCACTAGAGAAAATGTTCTAAGTTTTGAGATAACTAAGCTCACGTATTGGCAACATCCTGTACATGGTAAGAACAGGCAGAGATTACTGGAATTTTCTAGCTGGTAGAATGTCTTCAGTACCAGACCAGCCCCTCAGTCGTGCTACCCAGAGTGACGGGGTGAATTTTTCTGGCAAAGACCTGGTGCTTATAAATAAATCAATGTACTCTAATTAATGAAGACAGGCCAGGGTCAGGGGTCAGGAGGTGGGCCTTTCTTCCATACATCAGCAGGCTCAGCTGCAAAGGAAAGTCCCTGGGGTAGGGAGGGGCTCCATGTACATTGTTCCCCAGAGGGGTCAGGAACCTCCTTGCCATCGCAGGGTTAAACTATACCCATGGGTGCCTGCACAGCCAGGGAGGAATAGAACGGGAAGGGGAAGAAGAAAAAGAAAGTGTGTGTGTGTGTGTGTGTGTGTGTGTGTGTGTGTATGTGTGTGTGTGTGGGGGGGGACAGGGGGGCTGTTGAGGAAACATGGAAAGAAAAAGGAAAGTGGCCCATGAGGCTGGGAGGGAAGCAGCCCCAACCACTGTTCCCAGCTATGAACACTAGTCAAAACGTTCACCTTGAACAGAGGAAGTAAGTGCCCCTAAAAACTAAACTCTGGTTTTGACCCAAGCTAAGTTATATAAGATGATTTTTCAGGTCAACAGAAAGAGGAAAAGAAATAGGAGCCTGAATAAAAATTAGGCCTGGTCCTTGGAGACGTCAGGCTCCAGAATCTGTTCTACACTCGTTACGATGCCAGACTCTGGTCCGGACCGCCCCGCAGGACAGCCCCATACACAGCCCTTCCTGAAGGCTGGGAGGAGAATGGCCCTTTGCTCAGCAGCCGGTTCTCAAGCCCACAGCCCCCACTTCCCATGGACCACCCCTTCCACTGCATTGATCAGGAAAGAGCTTTCAGTGAAAGTCACCACTTCACAGTACCAACACAGTCAGCTCCACAGAGAAACTGGGGACTCAGGAAGCGGTCTGAAGACCACCGAGAAGATTCAGCCTGCCACAAGCTGAGAGCAGGGGAATGGGGATAAAGACAGCAGAGGATGCAAAGGAAACACACCGAGCACCAGAACGCACGTGACCCTCTCCTTCCCTGTGCGAGAGGAGGAGGGGACAAGTGCTGAGGGCTGGATGGACAGAGACCTTTTGCTCAAGGCATATGATCATAATTCTGCCCTCAGTTCTTTGCTGGACATGGTAACTCTAGGGGTTGCCTGCTCCACATCTGCGTGGGACCACACAGAAAGCCTGGCTCACAGCAGGCTCAGAACTGTGGCATTGTGAGTCCCATGCAGGCCCCTCCCAGTTCTGGCCAGTACCTGGCACACTGTCAGCACTTTCTCAATGTTAATCATGATTACTAAAAAAGAAACCAAACTCCCTAGTCCCTACTGCTTGACCACCAGTGACGTAAGCCTCCACCCTACACACACACATACACACACTCACATGCGCGCACACACAGAACACACACAGAGCACACGCCCCTCATTTATGAACTGTTCAAACTGTTCAAACTGTTCTTTCTTCATAGACAGGTCTGAATTATTTCAAAGAAACTTGTGGGGGCCCAGCTCAGAGGGGCAGTGGTAATGCACTGCTCAAGTCAAGCTGAATCCAGATGGAAGGCTGCAGGTTCAGTTCTCTGGTTGACCAGTTCCTGCCAGGCAGTCTGTGATCCTGGCTGGCTGGCTAGGAAAGGGGAGGGTTGTGGTGTGAGACCCTACTGGGAAAGCATCTTTCTCTCTTTTTCATGAAAGAAACAAAACAAAAAAGAAAAAGAAAACCTGTGGGGTGCTCTGTAGCACGTTAGCCAGCCTCTTCCATGTGCGCAGGACCGCAATGTTCATCACATCCATTTCCAAGACAGCAAAATGGGAAAAGTTACCCCAGATCTTCTCTGCTTATCTGGTATCTATCTAGATTTCAGGGTTGAGCTTAAGAGCTCTAAAATGCCCTTCAGCAAATTCTCCATACCTCACTTCATTTTCTGATAACAAGAGGTGCTAACTGCCCCCTTCCTAGCTTTAATTCAACCAACATGTAAATGCCTACTCCAAATAGGACACTCAGAGAAACAGATGCCTAAGCCTCAGTCTCTGACTATGAGGTCTAACAGAGAAAAATACATCTCATAGAGACTCTTATGCTAGGAGCAGCATTATTACTATTTTTTAGCAGCTCAAGCAATACAGTAATTGACCATAATGATGGATTTTGACAGAAGGACTCCAAGATTTCAGAGAGGGCAACAATGGAGACAAGCATCCTGGAAGGTTAACGTCTGCAGGGGAAAGCCTTCCAAAGGAAGTCCTAACGGCAAATGCATAGAGGCATGCAAGTGTCCTGGTGCGCTCAGGACACTGCAAGTCATGTGGTGCAGCTCCAGGTAAGGCCAAGATGCATTTCCTGGAAGCAGCACAGCTTGGGACCAGACTATTGTTTTAAAGGCCCTGCCAAGGTATCTGAACTTCACCATATTTGCCAGGGAAGATCTGGAAGGGAAGGGCAGAATCCAGTCTATAGCCAGGTAGGTAATTCCAGAGGGGAGAGACAGAGATTGAGGGAGACAGGGAGGTCACTTGGGCTGATAGCTACAACCTTCAGGAGTGGTGAAGAACTCTGACCTGGGGCAGTGGCCAGGGGAGGAAAGGAAAGACAGGGTGAAGAGACCTCTGTCTGGGCAGAAGGAGGCCGCAGGAGGGTGGTGTGCTGCTGTAACATATCGAGTATTACAGTTTCAGAAGGGAATCCCTCCAGGAGGGAGGGTAACAAGCTCACTAATGGGGCTACTGCCTGTGAGGTGCCAGGGGCCAGTTCAGTCTAGGCAGTTAAACACCGGCGTGTGTAGTGAGGAGCAAGGGCAGATGTCAATTTTTAAGAGTCATCAACAGAAAGGGAATACTTAAATCAGGGAGTAGGTCCCTTAGCTTGTTATTATCAGATGTGATAACAGATGTGAAAGTACCTCTTAAACTTTCAGGAATCATACAATACCCATGAATTATATCCCTGCTCTCTCTCTCACCATGACTGCTTTACATCTATAACAACCAAAGCAAGGAGTGAGTTCTGAAAACATAAAGTGATGGTTCTGCATAAGAGCCCCGTGGGTGGCCTTCAATGTCCTGACTGATGCCCAAGCTGCAACCTGAGCAATGAAATCAGAAACTCTGTGAGAAGGACCTGGACATCAGCCTTTTTAAAGCTCCCTGGTATCGACCAATATGGAGCCTGGGTTGAGAACCACTGAATTAGTGCGTCTCTTTGATACAGAAAAACTTACATTCAGAATTGTTTTCCTGGATAACAGAATCAAATGACAATGAGAAGATATCATTCAGTCAACAGACTCTTCATTCATTCCTCAACATACGCATTTATGGAGGGTCTCTTATGTGGCTGCCACAGTGCGAGGTGGTGGGAACAGGGTCAAACAAGACTGAAGTGGTCCCTATCCCAGAGAGGCTAATACTCTATGAAGGAAGCAGATCATAAGTAATGGCCGTAAATGTTGGTAGTTCCCAGTTGGTAGTTTTCCAGATAAGGGATATAATCGTTCATTCATTCAGAAGTTTCCTCTGAGGGCTTACAGTACAGCAAGGCTGAGGACATACTAAGCCAGACAAGGTCCTGCTCTAATGGAGCCTATGCTGTGGTAGGGGAGCCAATCAATACAAACAAGAAAATAACTAGGCAACATCCAAGTGGTAAGTGCTACAGAGTATGAAATGGGATAAAACGATCAACGATATGGGTGGGGGCGGAGGGCTATTTTACATGAGTGCGGTCTGGGAAGGCCTTTCTGAAGATGTAACGATGATATGAGACTTTAAAAAATGAGAAGAAATCAATCAAGAAATGATCCAAAGGGAGTTCCAGGGAGGCAGACACTAAGTCCTAGAGGCAGGAACAAATGTTTGAACAGGAGGGTGGAAACTAAACCCCAGTCCCCAGGCTTTGACGCCCATGTTTTCCACTTAGAATATGTTTCTGTTTTGATGTTTCTAGTATTTCTGACAGACTGTTTGATTTTTTAAAATTTACTTGTCTATTTCTTCCAAGAGAGTAAGAGACACAGAAACAGAGAGACAGGTATTCCTAACGGGACCCCCATGCCTCCACCTACCTCCAGTCCTAGCCAGCTTGGATCATAGACATGCACACATGCCAGGCACAAACCCAGGGCCTTTTCCATGTGAGCCCAGCTGCATTACCACTGAACCACCACCTGGCCCCTTCTTATACACTATTTGAATTTCAAAATTCAAAATGGTATGAGGCCCAGATGGTGAAGCTCTGTGAGGCAATCCCAGATGGGAAGGTTACTGGTTCAAGTCTGGAGACCTCTGAGTATATCAACACACATTTGCCCATGACTGGGGGCTAGCTGAAGACCGGGAAGTGGATCATGGTATCAGAACCCTGTTAGGCGTTCCCTCCCACCACCTTGCTCACAGAAAAATAAATAAATAAACAAACTCTTTCCAAAAACCAAAACAGTATGAGCCAGAACCTAGGCTTTGGAGTCAGATACTTACAGATTTGATTTCTCCTCTGTTACTAACTTACTAATTCCATGGCTTGGGACAGTTACCTAACCTCTCTGATAGTTTCTCATGTGTAAAAATGAATTAATAGCACTTGTTTCACAGGATTGTTGTAAAAATTGATGTAATTATATATAGTACTCCAGGTATACATGTGCATGTCCCTCCCCAAAGGAGGGAGAACTGGAGAAGGGATTGCAGTGTGACCACTCCTTGTGGGAAGTGCTTTCTCATCTCCCTCCGTCTGTCTCTGGAGAGCATGCAATACTATAGCAAAATAATAATAATAATAATGATAATAATAAGTCAATAGTAAGCTTCCTCTAAGAAGAACAGGGACCATGTCTGTCTTGATTGT